AAAAAAAATAACTTTAATTTTAAGAAAGAAAATATTTAAAAAATAGAAAAGAATTAAATAAAACTGGGTGTACCCATCAACATATTTTATTATTATCATTCTTTTTTTTAAGAATCAATTATTTTTTATTTGTAAATAGGTCTCTGTACGTCTGTAACGGTTCTAACAGGATAACCAAAAGATCATTTGATTAAAAAAGGGCTAGAAGTATAACATCTCTATTTCTTAGGGTCATTTTCGTCGGAAGCTCGGTTTTAGGTTCCATTTTAATTCTAGGGTCTTACGGCTCTGGTCGGCGCCGGTTTTTGCCCTTTTCCGGTACAAGAACAGTACAGGTTCTACTGCAATGCAATCCCTCTTTCAATATCCTAATTAATCCTTCTTTATACGATCATTTCTTTTCCTCCTCTTTATCTTCATAAATTCATCATATATTTTTGTTCTTCAATTATATCACTTCAATCGACTTGCAGAACCACAAGCTCCTCTTCCTAATTATTAATTAGCACCAGATGGAAGCATGATTAAGAGGAAACGGATTCATCAACCTCATTTGTTTATATCCTTCTTCAAATCATTCGCTACGAGCCCCTTACCCCTATCAGACCCTCCAACTGGAACTTCATTTCCTACAGTTTCCCCTTGTCAACAAGATCATAAATCCTTGTGTTTTTCCCTTGCTGAAAACCTAATTAAACGCGGGCTTTTGTCGTCTGCTCGACGAGTTATTCAGCGTCTTGTGTTACAGTCGCCCACCATCGTTGATGTAATTTCCGTCATTGATTTTGCTGTCTTCCGAGGCGTGAGTCTTGACTTGTCCACTTATTCTGCCCTCATTTGTAGACTTGTGAGTGCGGGTGAAACCCGGATAGCTGAGAATTTGTATATTGATAGGATAGTGAGACTAGGGCACAAGCCTGACGCTCCGTTATTGGGTTCCATGATTATTTGCTATTGTAAATTGGGGAAACTCAAAGAGGAAAATGACCATTTCCAGAAGCTTGTTGGGTTGAAGTCATTTTCCAGTGGAAGAGCCTGTTCTAAGTTTCTTGGGCAAATTTTTGCACAAAATAGATTCTTTGATGCATATGATTACTTCGTTAGGATTAATGATGCTGGGATTTTACTTTCTGTTTCATGTTATAATATGCTGATTGTGGGGTTGTCATTTAGAGGGTATGTTGATGAAGCTCGCCAAGTGTTTGATATAATGCACGAGAGAGGTGTGCCACCTGTATCTCATTTGTTGAAGTCACTAGTATTTGGTTTCTGTAAGACGGGGAAAGTTGAGGAGGCTGAATTGCTGAGTGCAGAGATGGAGTCATATGGTTTCTTTGTCGATAAGGTGATGTACACTAGTCTTATTAATGGTTACTGTAAGAACAGGAAAATAAAAATGGGGATGAGGTTGTTCTATAAAATGCTCAAGATGGGTTGTCAGCCAGATAGTTATACATACAATACATTGATAAAAGGTTTTGTTAATTGTGGATTATTTGATAAAGTGTGGATTTTACACAAGCAGATGATTGAACTAGGATTGGAACCTGATGTGTTGACTTACCAGATTATGATCAACAAATGTTGTAAAGAAAAGAAAGTTGATTGGGCGTTGGCATTGTTGCGTAGTATGTGTGATATGGACATAATGCCTAATGTGTATTGCTATACACCCATCATCCCTGCACTTTACAAGGAAAACAGGGTGGAGGTTGATGAATTATACCAAAAGATGCTGGAGTCTGGAGTGATTCCTGATCAAGTGTTGTTTTTTGCACTAATGAAGGAGTACCCGAAAGGGCATGAGCTTCATCTTACACTCAAGATTTTGAGTGCAATTGCTAAATATGGTTGTGGTTTTGATCATTCATATCCATCTGTTGCTTTTGTACCTGCTGAGAACATTCAATCTGAAATCGACCATCTTCTAGGGCGAATAATAGAAAGCAGGCCTCATATGGCTAATATGGTTTATAGTATATACATAATTGGACTGTGCATGGGAGGAAAAAGTGATGCTGCATTGCGATCTGCAGTTTTCATGGTCAATCTTGGATTTCAACCTCTGCTCTCAGCTTATAACTCCTTGATCAAGTCATCTTGTGAAGAAGGATTTGTTGAGCATGCCAAGGCTCTAATTGAACTCATGGAAGACATGGGTATGGTTCCAGACTCAACAACTTTTTTAGTAATGGTTAATGAGCATTGTAAGCGGGGTGACTTGGCATCTGCCTTTGATGTTCTTCGTCAAATGGATGAGAGGAGAATGAAACCTAATGTTGCTATATTTGATTGCGTCATCGGTTGTTTGGGCAGAGAGAAGAGAGTTTTTGATGCACACAGTATGTTCAAGAAGGTGCTTGAAAGTGGTGTAGATCCTGATGAGGCTTTGTATGTCAGAATGATTAATGTCTACTCCAAGAATGGACAAGCATTTGAAGCCAACCGACTATTTAACCGGATGATGAAGGAGGGCCTGCAACCAGATTCACATGCTTACTCAGCACTTATTAGTGGATTAATTAAGAAAAATATGATGGAGAAGGGTGTCCATTATGTTGGTAGTATGTTCAAAGATGGTTTTATGCCAAATAAAGTTCTGTATACCTCCCTTATTGATCAATTTTTAAGGAAAGGGGAGCTTGAGTTCGCATTTAGACTAGTTTCTTTGATGGAAAGAAGTCATATTGAGTGCGATCAGATTACATACATCACTTTGCTCAGTGGCATCTGCAGGAATCTTCAATGCTACACTGGCATGTGGCATGATACCCGTACAAAGTTTGGAAAAGAGAGAGAAAAGCTGTATCATGTTCTTCATCAAAACACATTGTTTCCCAAGGAGAATGATATGAGAATTTCCATGACAACTCATGAAGATCTGAAGTTCTTAGCTAGAAAATTAATAAGAGGAATTAAAGATAGTTGCTACATGCCTAATTTATATTTGTATAATGGCATATTATCTGGATTTTGTCGTATGGGTAAGTTTGAGGAAGCATATGGTGAGCTGGATGCGATGCAAAGACAGGGTGTGGCTCCTAACCAGGTAACCTATACCATTCTCATCAATGGACATGTTCAGGTTGGTGAAATTGATATGGCTGTTCAGTTGTTTAACAAAATGAATGCTGATGGTTGCTTCCCAGATAGAATTGTATATAATAGTCTGATAAAGGGATTTTGTAAGAACAGGAGACTGGTTGATGCCTTATCTCTTTCACATGCAATGTGTAAAAGAGGCTTTGCTCCTAGCAAAATTGCTTATGAATATATGCTTATTAGTCTTTGTGCTTCGCGTTTGATCAATGAAGCATTCAGTATATGTGAAGATATGATCACCCATAATTATTTACCATGTCATTATAATGGTAACTGGTTGCTACACATTTTACTCGAAGAAGACAAGTTGCACGAAGCTCAAATGGTACGTAATATGATGCTTGAAAGAGGAAGAAAGTTCTCAAATCCAATGAGACAGAGAGTTCTAATGAGCTCATGAGAGATCTAGTCTATTTTCATTTGGTAAAATGCAACTCGTCGGCACACAAGTTAGAAACACATCTCAACCGTATCGATTTCGGAACATAAGTTCATATCAGGACTCTCTCTGGTAATTCTGTAAACCTGGTGCTAATTCCTTAGCTTTATTTTTATGATTATTTCATGGGATCTTGGAGCATCTAATATAATGTCCTGTTTTGTAGGAAAAGATGGTTTCAAAGCAGAGTAACATGATGTGGGCATCAATGCCATTCAGGTTATTTTTGTTCTTTATATGCTAATAACTTTTTTGTTATTTGTATTCTTATGTTGAGAAGCTCTGTTACCAGCCACTTTAGGATTCCTTTAATATTTTCTATTGCGTCACTCATTTAGCTAACCTATGAGCTAGAGGGGGCCAATTTGAACTAATTTATATGAAAAAAAAATCAGATTTGGGTTATATTTTATTGCTTAGAGTTAAAAAAACATGGCTAAAAGGGAACGAGGTCAATCGGTTTAAAATTCTCCCATGACATGATATATTGTTTACATTATCTTAAATTGTCTTATTCAAAAAAATTGGCTCATTATTTTGATGACAATTTTCATAAAATTTAATATATTAATTATTTATGAGATAAAATAGTGTTGTATGCCCGAATTAACAATTCACCCGTGCTCATTTTGCTACCTATATTGTGAGCTACAAATAATACCTTGCTGTTGATGCCTATTGTTTGGTAGAAAAATGTTACTGCAAGTGCACAGGTCCACAAGTAAGATAGTATGTAAGAACCAGGTATGGTACCCACAAGGACTATTTTATTCTCTTGATTGTAGTCATTGTGCAAGCTTGGTAATAATAAGTTAATAACCAAACCAAACCGACCCAGTAAATCCCACTCGGGAGTAGGGTCCGGGAGGTTACATGTACATAAACCTAACCTCTACCCAAAATGGTAGAGCGGTTGTTTCCATGAATTTATGTACATCCCATTGTCGGCATTAATTTTGAGTTTTAGTATGATCTGTGTGTTGTGCTTGTGATGTGTCAAGGGAATGGTTACTTTCTTGACTTGAATATGATCCTTGTCCCTTAGTTAATTATAGTTTAGCTTTATATTTCTGCATCCTAATCGTTAATCTTCCTAAATCAATTTGAATATATGTTATTGGAACGAGATTTACTTAAATGAAATCCCTGAAGTCATAGCATGCACTGAAGAAGTCAATTGACGCAAAAATCTGTTATGGCTAACATTAACACCAGGATATCAGTTTTCTTCCGATCTTACTGAATTCACTAGTACATACACACATATGCCTATGGTGCACATACAAGAAAATGACATTAAAATTCGTAATTAAGTTACATGTGCAGCCAGTAAAGCACACTGACTAAACTTTTTGTTTCAGCATTAAAACCGCACACTGTGTTCAATATTTTTCCTCTTACAACAGTCATTCTGGTCATGATATAAGCAAATAATCTACCCATGTTTGTCAAGCATGAAATAGATTATACGCACGGAACATGAACAAACTCAACTTTACATCAATATCATTTAACAATCAACATAATCCTCTTATCATCCAACCCGTGGATTCCGGTAATTCAAGGCATACATGTTTAACTAGCATCATTTTAATGTATCAACAATCTTCCGAACTTGTGAACTCATGGACCAATACCTAGCCATATGCCCATGGTGCATTTACAAATACGTGGATAAAGATAATGATGATCATGCTAGCATATTCTAATCTAGTTGCCTGTGTGTCCGTGTTCTGCTGTTCGTATTGAAATCTAATATCCAAATCAATATGTTGATCTCCTCCAATGGATCTTCTACTCTGATGTTAGCAATTTGATTCCCCACTAATGTATCTGTGTGTTTTTGGGCTGAAATTGGGGGATGTGTTTGTGCCTGTATTTCTCCAACTTTCAGCCGTTTCCCTTTTACGTATCAGCCAAAACTAATTAAAAGCCTTATCCTAAGAAGACAAATCTCCCCCTGATTAAAGTTCTTGCAAAAATGACCTTGATGCCCCTGATTAATTAAACTCGCTGCCTGCTGTGTTATTTTCGAGACATGGCTGTTGGACAGCAGCTTTCAGTTGCTGATTTAACAACACTTGTGGCAGCTATTCTGGTGATGTTGTTCAGTTTCTGCTCTCCAATCAATCGGAACTGCACTTGATTTACGAGACTGCCCCTGCTGTTCGTTGATGTTGGAAGCAAAAATGTTGTTGTTTACAGCAGTGGGCAGCAGCTATTTGCTATTGGTCAAACTTCCAAACCTCTTCCAAATTTATCCTTGATCCTTTCACACACAATACAACCATGTCCACACTTTTTTTCATTCATTCATTTGTAAGTAAATTTACCTCAATTTTTTTTATAAAATGTTAGATAAGTTATGAGTTGATGATTGTTACTTATTAGTTGTGTCAAATAGGTGATCATGGGATAACAGAGTCATGGATCTCATTTCGATAGCCATGGTCCATGGAGCTTGGTCAGCTGGTACTGAGCCAGGTTCAGATCTCATGAGACATGGGTTTGATTGTGCAGAACAAGGTTCGGTTCAGTTGGAAACGGCACCAACCCAGTTGATCAATACGCAATTTCTAGACTCTGTTACAGGTGATTCTTCAGACCATATTGTTCGTTTAATGTTGTTTGGTTGTACCACATGGGTGAGAAGATGATAGATTGAAAAAATTCGGTTTGTATATTTATAATATTTTTCCATAATTATGATATGCTGTTTGAATTCTAAATAACATAAAAACATAATCATTGTTGGGGCGTCTTAAACTCTTCATAACAATAAACTATTATCAATAGATGCAAATTAACCACTTGTAGAAGTACATTCATTTCTCCATAATGCATTTTATTACATGTTAACTGAGGAATTACGTTTCATCTTCACTTAGTTCCATATAATCTATAAAAGAAACCCAACACTAGTTTATATTGATTCTTTAACCATCCACTTTCTCATACAAACCATGTTGTTATAAAATGTAGGTGTCAAAATGATGGTGGCTGGTTGCTGAAAATCTCGTCTCTTTGGCGAACAGCATGAAAGAACCAAAGATATTATCATGAGCGGTGAATGCCTTGCCTCCAACACGCTAGAATGATCATTCACTTGTAAGTAGATTTACTACAAAATTTCATAATAATCATTAAACGAGCTATGCTGCTGATTGTTACTTATTAGCTGTGTCAAATTGATGATCATGGGATTGACAAGTCATGGAACTCATTTCGACAGCCATGGTCCATGGAGCTCGGTCAGGTGGTACTGAGCCAGGGTTCAGATCTCATGAAACATGGGTTTGATTGTGCAGACCAAGGTTCGGTTCAGTTGGAACTCAATCCAGTTGATCACTACTGCATTTGGTAGACTCTGTTCGAGGTGATTCTTTAACCATATTGTTCATTTTTCTTCAAATTATGACTAATAATTGATTAAAACCAAATAAAAATGATGTAATCGATATGAATGACATGATCTCAATATGCAATTAATAATCTTTTTTGCCAAATCATGTAAATGAAAACCAAAAAACTAGTTTTGTAGAAAGTGGTGTGGGGGTATTACTGTACCTTAAGCAAATGCACACAGAAGTAGGGGTGTTCATGGGTTGTGTTGATTGGGTTAAATGCATTTTAATAACCCAACTCAATGTTTGCAGTTTGAAATATCTCTAGCTAACCCAACCAAAACGAAAGTGCAACGCAACCCAATCCAACCCGAACTGTACGGGTTGGTCGGGTTGATAATTTGGGGCATCAAATATTCTTATTACCTTGAATATGTTGTTTTGTCTACTCAATTCATTTTTCATCATCAATCTTTTGGTATATAGCTTATCCATACTCCTTATAAGCTTATCCATACTCCTCCTTATAAGCTTATCAATACTCCTTATAAGTACGTGATGGTGACTTAATAATCATACTAAATCCAAGAAATAAAATGATATCAGGTTCATCGGATTGGGTTGGGTTCAAATGACCGTAACCCGATTCCAACCAATACCTACAGTTTAAAAAGTTTACAACCCGATTAGACATTGAGTTGTTTCGGATTAGGTTATATTACATGTTAGGATGGGTTGGCCAGGTTGGTCGGGTTTTTGAGCACCTCTACACAAAAGGGACAAGATTGTGACAAGATGGGTGAGGGTGAGATAGACCTGTAAAATGATTGTGCAAGGTTTTAGTTTTAATTTGACAAAACGTTGTTTCGTAAGTTACCAATTTTGTCATGTCTTCCTTATTTTTGTTTCGCTTATTTTGGCGGAACAAAAAAAATACATTTTCGTCTCGTTTAGTCATGTCTTGTCCTAGTCTAATTTCGCATGAGATAACATATTTTTTTAGATACAAAGCAGGGATACATTATATTTGTTCCAATAAATAATCAAATAATGTTTACAAATAGATAATGAATGATATAATAATCAAATTTGAAACTTGTCATCACAGCCCTGCGATGAATGGCACAGCGGTGGCCGGCAACCATGCCCTACCAGCAATAAGGCCTTCCACCGTGAACATTCGTGCTTCACTCGAGCTCATATTAGCATGGTATCCGGCCCACTTCACTCGGTTTTCCATGGCGGCACCCGGACCAAAACAACCATATTCACCATAATACAACGTATTAAAAGCGAAATCGGTATTCCCCCACGGTGACCATCCTTGCGGATTGATAAAGCCATCAAGGTATGTTTTCATGAACACTGTTCTAGAATATTCTTGCCACGGCCGGCCTAAGTAGGTCTGAACGGAACTCACCACCGGAATTAGTTCCGGAGTGGGGATTATGCGGCAGTTGTGGATTGAAATCCCGGTGTTTTGGAACGGATCACCACGGCCTTGGGCGGTTATCATGTTTGCTTGTCCATTTAAGGGTTTTCTGACTAAGATTACACAGTTCTGGAAAACCACGGCGGCATTACCGAATATGAAATCGATGGTACCGGAAATATAGCAGAGTTTGAAGAATTGTCTTTGGGAAACGGCGAATAGAGTGTCTTGATAACCTTCAAAGCTGCAAGCGTAGAAGACAGAGAGATCGGATGCTGATCGGAGCGCCACCGCTTGGCCGCTTTCAGGGCCGGCGGTATTTCGGAATGTTATACCACGAGCTATGAATCCAGAGCAATCCACTCCTGAATTCCATTTGAATTACAACAAAAATGCATTTTGAGATTTTTGATTTTAAGTTTTTAAAGTGATTATTGCAAGTCGAAGTTTCACTTTACTTCACTTCTATTATAACATAACATTCACAAAATTAATAATTAATAATTAATAATTTTATATCTTACCGACGGTGGCTGAGCTATAAGTTGTGGAACCTCCACGGGCGCTCCGGTTGCCGGTGATAATGGTGTATCTGATTCCGTCACCAACGAACATGATGTTCTTCAAATCGTTTACGATCTGGATGTTTTCATTATATACACCTCCTTTTATGTATATTATAAATCTCTGATCCCCGTGGTCGATACTTCTGGCATAATCAAGAGCCGATTGAATGGTCGGAAACCTACTATCCGGTGTTTGAGACACTATCACGTTTGCTATCGATTGGATCGACGTTGTCGCCAACAATCTCCGGTCATGGTGTGTCACCCAAGCCGGGAAATCGTTGGTATTAAAATCGTAGTTTGGATTTTGGTTCAAGAACAAGTGATTTATGGCCAAACTATTGCTTATCATCTCGGTCAAGTTACTTGACTTGATCGGAGATGCAAAATCCGTCAAGTTCATTTCAACACAACCGGAAAAACAAGTTTGGAGGTTGGTGAAGGCGGCGCTCAGCCATGTTTGTGCGTCGAAGTTGGAGCTCCGATTGTTTTTCAAGCCGACTAGGGTTTGGTTGAGTTGGAACACGGTGTTATTGAGAAGCTTGTAGCAGTCGTTCCAAACCGCGGTAGTTGCCATGGTCTGACACATCTTCCCAAGGTCTCTTGTGCATCCCAGAGCCTCATTGGCGTTATCTACTGCAGCCTGTAAGGCCAACATTCGAAAATCTGTCCTATGTCGTGGCACATGATGTTTGCCACGACCCAGAAAGAAGTTGCATTGGTTCGGATGAGGGGTCGTTTGGCACCAGTGGTTGATATCAGTGCCAACCAATTCGTCATCTGCTTGTACAAACAAACTGAACGAAGAATACAAGACGAACAAGTAGAATAAAAACGACAAAAATAGGTTAAACGAATTCATTTCGGGTTTGGTTTTTGGTTGTTGTTTTTTATTTGAGTTTTCTTGGGGATAGAAATGATTGAAAAGCGTATGATGAGATGTTGGTTTTTGTATAAGGATATGAAGACTTTGAAAATGGATAATAAGTGTAAATGAAGGTTAAGTTATAACGAATGAAGAATGGCGGGTGTTGTGAGCAATTGATTCTATGATGTTTATTGTAATGTACGGTGGCTGCCCTCGTCTTTATTGTTCAATTTCATGTCTTAACAATTAATAAATTATAAAAAATGAATTTATGCTTTTAATCCAAGTTAGATTAATGATCGAAAGGGGGACCTGAAAACATGGTTTTATAAATTTTTTGAGGGCCGTTTATTTTACGCTTACAAGGTAAATGATTGTCGGGTCACTTATTTTACTAGGTGAGCATGATAATGACTAAAAATCTTACCCATCAAGAAACATAACAGTAATTGAGGTTCTTACCCAGTAAGTAAGAGAAAAGACTATTATCTGGTTTAAAGCTTACCGAGTAAGATCCACTTATAAATATTACATTTTTAATGACATAGAATGTTATCCGATAAGGTAACTGAAAGTGATGACTCTTTATCGATAAATGCTTGATAAACAGCCTCTTACTTGATAAAATCAGTATAAATAAATAAATAAATAAAGTTAGAAGGGTTTTTCTAATTTTAATTGAAAGATATCATATTTTTAAATATTATAGATATTGTAATCAGCGTTTATAATCATATCATATCATGTGGGCTGTGGCCGTTATTTTGAAAATGAAGTAATTAATATCGTCGGGTGGTTACGTGTACATAAGATTAGAAGCTGCTGTCGTGTGTTAGTGTTAATAAGCTCCCTAATTAATTGAACTCCAAGCAACAATGTGTATATTCATTGTCTATGTTTATGCTTTTAAAGATTATTATACTAGACGAAACATCGTGTGAGAATGAGTTAAAGTAAGAAGTGTAATAAAGGATTTGGACCTTTGATCACTTTTAATCTCATTCTATTCTATGAATTGTGTTTCTCATAGAAATTGATCCAATGCAACTCATTACTGTTGATCTTTTGGACCTTTGATCACTTTTAATCTCATTCCATTCTATGAATTGTGTTTCTCATAGAAATTGATCCAATGCAACTCATTACTGTTGATCTTCAATTAATATTGCTATAAGGGTGAAGTTTCATTCTTACCATTTTTAGCATAACTTCCATTCTCATCAAAATACGACCTTATGATAATATATATATAGGGGCCTATTCAAGGGAGAACTGAGTTGTTTGTGGTAACTGTGAGAACCAATATTAACCACAAATCAATAGATAAATTAGGAAACTGATAATTTTGGTAATTTGACTTAAAAATTCAATTAAAGGGCATTTTAGGTATTTCTAAAATCTTCTCTCTCCGGCGAACCTTATTCA